CCCCCCCCCCCCCTTGCGTCAAATCTGGGTTGATCGCTCGAATGTTTTTGATCTCTTATGGGATGTTGTGGCTTGGTCAACGGCCTTGTGTCTTTGACAAGAGTTTATCCCTTCGGTCGACGACTGACGAATAAATAGTGAATTGCGCCGTTAGGGCCGCCGGTACTACGGGAAAGGGGGTGTCGTGTGATCATCTGTTGTTTTTAAGGAACCTGTTTTTTTTGTTTGGTTTTCGTATGGCCGTTCCGCTTTTGCTATTCGCTTGATTCGTTTTTGCTAGAGAGAGAGCAGCCGGACTCAGGAATAAATAAGATCGTCGGCTGTGGACGGACATGTCTTAGGCTTGCCTTGCACCGTAAGTGCAAGGGTTGGATGGACCTCTTGTTGTGCTGGTGGACTTTGTTGTTGTTGCGTTTGCCCTCCGGAATGTCTCCTCGAGCACCTTTCTGCCATACCCTGTTTCTCACCAGCACACTCGGAAGACGCGAGCCCGGTGCCCACCTTCCTTTTTGATGAACATGTCGATGGCACCGTCCCCATCACTTATCAAGCATCTTGCTCTCTCGTGTCATATCATCTGCTTCTACTGCCTCCTCCCACTATCGACCCATCTCTCATGTCTCGTTCTCGCTCTCTCGATCGCTCTCGCTTCTGTTTGTCTGTCCCTGTCACTTTCTGTCACATTTTCTCTCCTGACTCTGTCTCTATTTCTCTCCCTGTTTCTCTCTCTTCCCCCCGCTCTCTCTCCCTGGGACGTTGTGTGCTCAGGTGTACGATCGTTTTGTGGCGAGGGTCACCGAGCTTGCGTCAAAGCTCCGCCAGGGGCCGGTGCTGGGGCCAGAATCGGTCGACTGCGGGGCGATGGTCATGCCCGCCCAGCTGGACATCGTGCAGGTACATTTTGGTACATTGATACGCTCTCAATGTTATTGCAACTGCAGTTTTCTTTGAAGGCAACAGGGCTTGTTTTGCGGAGGATGTGTTTTTTGTTACCTACGTTGGGCTCAAATCCTGGAGCTCATTTGTCTGTTTTTGGGTGTTTATGTGCAATCGGCAAATCCGTTTGCTTGTTGCCGTTTGAAGGGTGGCGGGAAAAGTTGTCATTCCTTCATTTGTCCATCGGCAGGCGGATCGTTTTGTTCTCCTTACCACCGCATGCTTTATGAATGTGCGTGTCCTTTTGTTCGATCTCTTGGCCCACGTAGAGTTAGGAAGTATTTAATAATGAGGCAATTCGAGCCGTGGCTTGTGTGCTTTGGTTGCAGGGTGAAACGTGCAAGCGCCGCTGCTTGTTGAAGTAGGAAAATGTTTGTGGTGTCAAAGTACCAGCAAGTCGGATTGTTACTTGTGGATTCTGATAGGTTGCGATCGGCTGGTTCGTTCATTTTCATTGACAGTCCAGTTTGACAGTCCGGTGACAGTAGTGCAGCACCGGCGCCTGTTTGTCGCCACATCAACCGAACCATATCTTCCACGGCATAACATGTCTGGATTATGGGAAACCCGACTGGCTGAATGCCCGGAGTTCCGCCATCTTGGTAATGAATGAACGCTTGTCACTTGTGTGTGTTGTGTGGATGACACAGGATCTGGTGAACGATGCGGTGTCTAAAGGAGCCAAGGTCACCACAGGCGGCTCGAGGAATATGGAACACCCGAACGGTCTCTTCTACCTCCCGACGGTTAGTGCTCCCCCCGCACAGTGTTATGTGTGCCGAGAGAGAACAGAATCTAAGGAAAGAAACCGAGGATAAGGGGGGTCTATAAGTGTACGGAATGTTGAAGGAAGGAATAGGGTTCAAGGATTACCTACGTGAACCAATGGATGCAGGGACAAAGCTTAAGGTCAAATTCAGGACCGGGGACGTAGGCCTTCGAGAACGTCGACGGAGATGTAGGACGGTAGTTGACGAAGACGACAAGTTCAAATGTGATTGCGGCTTCGAATGCGAAGACCGTGTTCATGTAGTCGCGGAATGTCCGTGGTACAAGAAGGAGAGGGAAGTGTACGTGACTGAGCTGGGAAAAATAGATGGGACTTAAAGGGAGATGTTTGAGGCATGGAATAGAGAGGAAAGGACGGTAGCTGTACTGGGGCATAGGAGGTGGGTCGAAAAGGCGGGAAGGGATATCGTTAGNACAAAGCTTAAGGTCAAATTCAGGACCGGGGACATAGGCCTTCGAGAACGTCGACGAAGACATAGGACGGTAGACGAGGAAGACGACGAGTTCAAATGTGATTGCGGCTTCGAATGCGAAGACCGTGTTCATGTAGTCGCGGAATGTCCGTGGTACAAGAAGGAGAGGGAAGTGTACGTGACTGAGCTGGGAAAATAAGATGGGACTTACAGG